TAGGAATTTTAAAGATGTTTTTCTCATTTTCGTCAATTTATTATAATGAAAATAATAAAATAATAACAGGGGGACCCGACCGGAAAAATCGGAAAAATGTCGCAAAAATGAGGAAAATCAGAATTAAATCGTGATATGAAAATCGTGATTTCTCTGCAAATACTTGTCCGATTGATCTGAAATTTTAAATGAAGCTTTTTTACTTATTGAAATGATTATACATACTAAAAATGTCATTTTTGATAGGAACTATAGTGTGAAACGAGAGTCAAAGACTGATAACGAAAAATAAAGAAAAATGGTTAAATCAAAACTAAATGAGAGATTCTTGGATCTGAAGAAGGAAAAAAGGAGGCTCCTTGCTCCTCTGGAGGAAGAGGACGGTGGGCTTGAAGCCAGGAGGCCAGGAGGCATTGAGAGGCAGGAGAAGAAGGCTCGAGAGCAAGAAAGGAGGAAGATCTCAAAATCAAGGTGGCTGCGACTAATAGAGTTCTTTGCAATGGTAGTTTTAATTATTGTGCCATTTCATTTCTCTTTCTATTATTTGGGTGACAAACATTGATTAGAAAGACTTTACTTTTGAATTCATTTAATTTAAGTATTGTTTTTCTTCTCATTTTCTTAGGCGGCAGGTAGGGAAAGGAGAAGACGTTCATTTTTGTTCTTAGTGTTCACCATTACGAATTTAGTTAAAATTTTCATTTTAATTATTAAGTTTTTATTTTCCCATCCTTAGATGATAGATAAGGAAAGGAAAAGATTTTATTCGAAGCCATAAGATTTTATTTAGACTTTATCTTTAATTAAAAGCTTTATTAGTTCTAAAGGACTTTGCCATGTGATAGACATCAAAGTTTAACTTTAATTTTAAAATTTATTTTTATCAGGAATTGAATTATTTTAGTTTACCTTTGATCGACAACCAAGGTTTTTCTACATTCCATTTGTTTTTATTTTATTTTATATCTTAGTTTTAATTATTTGAAAACATTTTCCACATCAAAAGAAGTCATTTTATTGACAACCATCCTTCTCATCTTTCCATTCCATAACCCTTAATCTATTTTCCTTTATTCATCTTATCATCAAAATCTTCTTTCTGATTATCTAGAGCTGATGAGAAAATTAAACTAATGAAATTAATTAGGAAAGTAGGAGATTAAATATTGAATAGAAGATTACATTATTTCTCTCATCTCATTTCATTTAGTTCCTTTCTTTCTAATCAGTGTTTGTGTTAGAAAAATTAGAAATTCATCAAAACTAGATCTCACCATCCTTGAGGATTGATCTGAACTTATAGTAATACTAGAATTTAATTAGAGAGTTCAGTTGTAAATTTTGTTAAATTTTCATGCATTAAAACCAACAACCAATGCATGATGATTACTTTTTATTGGAAGTAGAGTCCAATAGTCTCTAGATTCTTCATGTTCACATGCTTCACCAAGATTTTTTTACTAATCATTATATCATCAATAAGTTCATCACATTGATCTATTAATGTTTTTGGTATCAATATAATAACTATGAATCATTTTTCATACTAGTCTGAAGTATTAGAACACAATAAATTCAATCATGTTGTTTGATATGATTTTTACACAATAAATGCCTAAGCTGATATGATTAGAATCTTTGTTATATTGATGGTGTGAATTAAAATATAATAATGTAACATAATCAACATCCAAATATTTTATCGATCATAGACTAAATGTTTTAAATCACTAGATTTTACAAATGTTAGTTTTATGTACAAATTATAGGTTTAGACCAGTAAATATCAAAATGACTAAATTATTGTGCCAACACCCCAATTGAAAACATTCTAATAAAAACCTCCGAATTCTTTAGTATAAGTGGATTCAATGTTTAAATCACTAGACGACGTTTATGAACTAGGTTAGAAAATTGAACTTTGGGACTCCTAAAAGTTTCATTCAATACACCTAGCCTTACAAACAGTCCACAAGTGTACACCATTTTGGTCAGGTACTACAAGTGCAGCACTGCATTTATGAGTCGTGAAGAATGAAGGACTGGGAATTAAGTTGAGAAATCATCATTTTCTTTCAGTGAGAACGTGAAAATTTAATTGCTGATCATTCAAATTACTTTTTGACTTAAATTTCTAACATTAGAGGAATTGAAACAAACAGCACTAAGAAAGTCAAATAAATTAATTGGATATATGTTTTACAAGATTAAAAGGGTTTTCTGAAATCAAATTCCATATGCAGATGTGACACCTAATGCTCAGATTTCTGGCTGTTATCAGTTATTGCAAATGACCATTGGAAGCCTCAAAACTCACTCTATAAAACAGGGAGTTTTCCTATACCAAAAAAAAGAGGTCAAGGGTCACAAAGTTCATATTCACCCTTTTATCTATCCCTCGATAAAAGGGGTGACAAGAAAGTCAGTTGATACTCAATACCTTCATAAGAGGTCGTCCACAAGATCTGGTGCTTTCTAAACAACAATGGAAGGATTTCAGTCTATTGGTCCATGAATAACTTTAATAGAAATTGCATAAATTCAGCCATCGATCAAGCAATTAACATGGTAATAATCTACACTTCCATTCATACCTTTTTGGACTATAAAACCTACATCAATAAGTTACGCTGCTGGCTTAAAACTTCAAGTACATTTGATAGAATCTTGAGCTGCCTGGAGGTACTAGCGTAATAAACCATGTACAGGTGCTGGCATTATGTTAGACTGTTTGGTGGGCCAGAGTTAGGAAACTGATGGACGAGTGATAGTAACGTGATAGACTATCTAATGGGCTAGACCTAGGAATTCAGTGGATGAGTGACACCAAGGCTGATAAGTTGGTGAGGCATTGATTGCCCTGAGGCAATCTGGTTGTTAGTGTTGTGAGCACTAAAGCAGTTGATACCACCAATAGCTATGTGGCCCTTAGGTCCGTTAATGCTTCTCTTCAAATAAGATAAGCATTAACATCTTACTTGTGTGTTTACTGTATATACTTGTGACTAATACAGTAATTTCCTGCGACATGGTAAATCAGAGTAATTAATCTAATTTACTCAATTAAGTTACAAGTACATTAACAACTAAATCTCTAAGCACGGTGTAAAAACTGGATGCTAGTTTCACAACCACTCAATTAAGAAGCCTAATTTCAAAAACTAAAGTGAATTAAATTACCTATCATTATTCAAAAAAAATCGTGGTAAGGTATTTTCACCCGCCCTCTAGACTTATTTAGCTCAAAAAAAATGTGGCATGAAGAAAACCAATTGAAGATATAAACTAGGTATATCCATTAAAAAATTCCATATATTAAATATTAGTGCTTGTTTGAACTTGCTCATTTCTTCAGTGACTTAGTAAGGTGAATAATCTAAAGTCATTTATATTTTCAAAATACATATTGATTTGCAGTGCATATGCTTTCTCCAGAAATTATCCAACAATGATACATATTTTTTTTGTTTCTTTGTAAGTGAGAAGATATGAACTAGTTCCATTCATCCATTAATTTTTAATCTTCAGTACTTTTATTTTTCATTATCATAATTCTTGTACTGCTGCATTTGAATAGTAGATTAGTGATTACTTCTGCCTCCATTGGATAATTAATAAATACCATTTCTCTTTTGATTTCGGAGCTTTCACTATTTCCTTTGTATGTTCCCCTTGAAAATGATTTGAAGACACATTTCCTCGGCATTTTAAGCCAATATTGCTAAAATATTTAATTCATTTCAAGAACCTATAAATGCAGTTCTATGAATGCTCGGACAAGTCAGGCAACTGCGAAATAAGACCCTAAATGGAAAATTTTAAGAATTAAACTATTAGAAACTTCCATTTAAGAAAATCCTTGATGATGGATTCCGTTCCAGACAACTAAAGGTCCGAAATGATTGAGAACGTTTATATTCCATTTATGAAGGGTATGAAACCCGAACTATGAGTCTCAAACAACACTGCCCACGGCTAGATTTGTTCTCCGAGACTTTTTTCTGCTTTGGTAAGTCGTTAGTCCGTTTATGTCGTAGTATTTAAAAAGGAGGCTCATATCCTAAAATGGGTGGAGCATAATTTAGATAGTACTTCATAAATCGTACTTTTCATCATAAGCATAAGACAATGATCATTGAATGAATATGAAGTATCACTGTTTCACCGCTCTTAAATCTCTTATTATTCAACCCACCATTGTGGTCCATCGTATTCATCGCTTAAATGAGTCTAGATTCCTCCAAGATCACCTATTTGCTGACTGTCAGAAACCACCGTCTCCGTCACCTGATATCGTCTTCTTCTCAAGTGGCCCCTTACTAAAAACTTAAATTGGATCTATAGTTAACTACTTTTACGTCCCAATAACCCCAATGCCACCAATTATTCTTATATTATTTCCGTCGAGGTTTACTCAGAAAATTTATGCCAATGTCGATTTAGCACTTCCAACCTGAGTCACTGCCCCAAAGTACTAAACCCTTCATCTCTGTTATAAGTAGATTCTCTCCCTAAACCTCTCCCTCTACCTCTCTCTCTCCCTTTTTGTTACATCTTCACTCCAAGCATCCCTCATCACACCTCTCCCCCTTACTTCCCATGTTTTCCTTTTAACTTTGCATGCTGAAGCATGGAAGATCAGTTAGTTTCATCCTAAAATGATTAATGAACGGTAATAAAGCTTATACAATGGTTATCGACTATTAAAGGGATAATGATATCTTTGTGGCCCGTCAAATCGACGATTAAATCCGCTACGTCGCGAATTTAAAACTGATTAATGGCATATGGAAAAAACTCGACGCGTATCAATTGGGAGGATAGATCATAAATACCTAAGACCAATCAACCCATCTAGTGTGTAATAGGAATTACCAAGACCACGATAAGCACTTGAAATGCCACTTCCAGTTTCAGGCTCCTTTTATTCTCTTTTGGCCGTACATCAATCTTACGTATCATGCAGGTTGATGGCGGGGATATGGAAGATTATTGTCTGCTCACTTGTAAGGGGCAAAGGGCTGGAACCCATCCTTCGGAGGTCCTTGGTAAGCTCTCGCCTGCGATGACTCCGCTTCGTCGCTTCTCCCCGGCATCGTCTCTTCTTCTCCTGGCGTGACGGCGCTGCCACTTTGTCCGCCGGAGGTAGGGAAGAATGCAGCAGGAGGGGGATGAGCAGGGGGGTGGGGTTGGTAGAAAAACGGGAGGTTCTGATGGTGTTGGTATGCTGGTGGCTGTGGAGGCGGTGTTGGGTAGCTGAACAGGCCGGCGTCAGACGCTGCTCGCTTTAGCGGCGTCAGAAGGGCGTCCCTATGGATGGAGCCTCCCTCAGCCTCACGGTAACGCTGGAGATAGAGGGTGAGAGGCTGGAGGTAGTCGTCGAACCCGAGCTGACTCATAGCCCAAAGGAGATCTTCGGCGGTGATAATCTTGCGTTGTTCTTGCTTACACCTTTCGTTGGCCTCACTTGTCACGAAGCTGATGTACTCCGATAGGCACTCCTGGATGGTCTCCTTAGCGTCGTCGGCGATCTTCGCGTGCGCGGGCAGTACCCTACGCATTATCCGTATCACATTCGCGATCGGCAGAAACCTATCCTGCTCCCTCACAGCTGGCCCTTCTCCTCCACCCGCCGCCTCCATAGCCGCAGGCGCTACATCCACTTTAGTGGTGTTGTTGTCGCTGCTTCGGTCCGCGTCTTTCTTGTCTGTGGCGGCTGCACCACCTGCCACAACCGCAGAAAGGAAGAACCTAAGCCCTGGGAATCACAGAGATTCAAATGAAACAAAAGCTCGGGAAATTGCGTGTGATCAGATGAAAATCAAAGAAATGGGTGTTGCTCTTCCAGAACGCATTGAGGAGCTCTGTAATGACAATCGAACTACCGCAAGGCGTTCTTGTAAGCACAAGCAGCAACAGCCTTCCAGCATGCATCAGGGGGGTACCTTCCCGGATGCAAGCAGATAAACAAGTGGTGAGGAAGATGAGCAGAAGCCAACTAATATCTCATTGTGTGAAATGGGGAGCAGGAGTGACAGAGGAAACTCGGTGATAGTCACCTCTGAAAAGCGACGAACACTGCGTATTGAAACATGAAACCGTATTGATAATGATGATAGATGGGTAAAGTCTAGGATCCTAGCGAAGCCGAACTACAGAAAACTGTGCTTTCTCTCTCACACATCAACGCACGCATGCACACACCTGCGGTCCTTCCGGGGTGTCCTCGGCCGCCGGGACAAGAAAGACCCTCCATCGCTCTACTCTCTCTCCTCTACACCCTGTTTCTAACTGGTTCTGGGTTGAGGAAGAAAACGACGTGAGGAGTCATTCCTTTATAGACTGTTCGACTACCTAACTACATCACAAGACGGCAAGGATAGCGATAGAAACGATGTGATGACAAGTGTCTCCTCAGGTATTTATTCTCAGTAAATGCCACGAAAAATATTGACAAATATAATTTCATTCTCCCAATTAAAATAGCATTTATGTCTCAAGCATTACACCATATGAGGTTCGTGGCGAAACTTTATTTGTCCATAGTTTAATTAAAAGCAGAATACGTCGAGGTCTGTAGGTAATATAGTCTTGTCTCTTTCTCAGCGGCTCTACTGAAACAATGAGAATGGGAGAAACTTCTATCTTTTAATATTTTACTGATAAATCTTATTGATACTAGCGGGAAAATAGACTCGTTGTGTACCTCACGTGGCCTTCATTTGTCTGTTTGCAGACCTCAAGTGGTCTTCTTTAATGGACAAGTAGAGAAACACATCCTTGGATCACTTTCAGAATTATTGTCTAATTATTTAGAATTATGACAGACGAAAGGAGAGACATCTCAACTATTCAAAAGTTCCGTAATTTCATCCATAGTTAAGATTAATTATATCCATAGACTATATTGAACGAATAATGGATGGAGAATCTTTATCAACATAAGCTCAACCAAAATGTAATTAAATGGAGATATGTAATTATGGCAATATAAATATTCAAATGTGTCCAGAATAGCCTGTTGTTTCCCATAGAAAAACTGAAAATGTGATGACAAAACGCAACTAAAGTAATTAACTCATAGTTTAATGGTATATAATTTTAACAGGGTCTTAGAGATGAGGGTCGCTCATGGGTTGCATAAATCACTCTATATTTAAATTCTACCAAATCTCAAGCATGAAGGCGAAAATGCCATATTGGTTATTCTACGTTTATTGGTCATTAATACATCCTCTCTCATTGTATAACCCTATGGAAACTCTAGTTCGCATGCAATTAATTTTAAGATAAGAGCCCTTAATTTATTGTCAATGTCCTTTTAGTTATGTGGTGCACTGGCATTTACGAAAGAAGAAACAAGAACATAAGGAAGAAACTCTTCTACCAGATTGGACCTTTTATTGTGTAAGGTACCAACTGCACAATACAACAAAAGGGAAACAAGGCACAGTTCTTTTGAAAATTTTAGTTAATCCATTGAAATCCGGAGCAAATGATCTAACTAGTAAAAAAACACTATAGAAAGAAAGAAGCTCTACCACAGCATCAGGACACTAGGTCCCTAGAAAGCAGGCAACACAATCAGTCGAAGATGGTGCGAACTAAAACAAGCGGGACAGTGACCGAGAATCCAAGAGAAGGCCCTTCTGTGGTATCTCTCTGCCTTGGGCCAGCGCTGATGGGTTTCTCTCTTCCAGGCTCCGAGCACTGTTTATTCAAAACTAATCTATGAGGCTAAATTATGCTGACATGGAATTCGGTAACCACGATCTTAAACATCTATTTAATTGTCACTTATATGAAGAGAAGGGATGGAATCCGTCCTTAGGAGCTCCCTGGGAGGTACTCGCCTGCGAGGACGCAGCCCCATCCCTGTAGTATCTCCCCGGCATCGGCTCCCCTTCTCCGTTTGCGGCGCCGGTGCTTGTTCCTGCAGAGCCGAGAAAGAATGCCGATGGTGGGGGTGGAGCAGGGTGCGAGTGGTAGTAAAATTGGAGATTATGGGGATGCTGATCATGGGGCAAGGGGTGATGGAACGGAGGCGACGGCAGAGCGGGGTGGCTGAAGAGGCCAGCGTCCGAGGCTGCGCGCTTTAGCGGCGTCAGGAGAGACTCCCCCCGGAGGGGACCTCCGCGGTTGTCACCCTCGGCCTCGCGATAGCGCTGAAGGAAGAGGGTGAGGGGCTGGACGTAGTCGTCGAAGCCGAGCTTGCTCATGGCCCAGAGGAGGTCCTCGGCTGTGATGGTCTTACGCTGCTCCTGTTGGCACCTCTCGTTTGCCTCGCTGGTGACGAAGCTGATGTACTCCGACACACACTCCTGGACGGTCTCCTTCGCGTCATCGGCGATCTTCGCATGCGTCGGCAGCACCCTGCGCATGATCCGTATCACGTTCGCAATGGGCATAAACCTGTCCTGCTCCCGCACCACCGGTCCTCCGCCGCTCCCCGCTATTGTCGCTGGCGCCCCCTCCCCCGCGTCGTTGCTGCTGTCGTACTTGCCATCGTTCTTGTCACCAGGAGAAGGAACACCGTTTCCGTCCTCCAACGGAGCACCGCCTGCTCCAACTATATGAATGAGCCGCAGATTCATTCATTATAGCCGACAGTAACAGAGAAAAGGCCGCAGGAGCGCTTACGGGGTATTAAGGTAAAAGTCACCAAAACTGGCGTTACAAATGGACCTAACATCGAGGAACCTAGTAATTACTACCCTCTGACTCCCCGCATGCCGCCCTCTCCCATCCTCGACACTAGAAGATATAACGTAAAGACTTTCCGAGAAAAAGAACTTGGATTCGGTTCAAGGAGCCATTGTTGACGATTCCTTTTCCATCCTTCCGGAGAAAGCGGGGGGGATAGACAATGCTGAGGAAGAGAGGAGAGATGCTAAGTCTCTCTCCATGGCTTCCGCTCGTCTTCAGACTAGTGGAAGCTGGAGTGTTACCTGTCATCTGAGGCGTCTAATCTCTAGTGTTGAGCGGAGTCTTCGGATGCGGATGGATCCGATACGATGCTACCGCCATGCATGCAAGGATATCCGCCAGTAGCATAGACGGCAATGTTATTACCTTTCTGGGAGTACCGATCGTTATTTCTAAAAGGCCGAACAGGAGAAAGGAAGGAAACGTATAGCAAGAGATGGAATGAGAAATGAAAGAGGTTTGTCAGAATCAGACGATCAGATTATCCGGCTTGTGTGAAAAAACATAAGAGGGATGTCTCATAACGGAGCCGAAATGCATTTGAAACCTGGGCATAAAGGGAATAATTACGTAGATGACGATTGCAAGCGGCGAAAAGGACAGGAAGCAGGAGAAGAATTAGTCTCTATGGTTGCACTGGAAGAAGAGAAAAATAACTCTTTCCGTATGAATATGCATTACCTGAGTTAGGTTTCGTGAGTCTTCCACCGCCTGGGTAAGGACCTCTCTCCATTGACGCCCTCCTCTCTCTCTCTCTCTCTCTCTCTCTTTCTCTCTCTCCCCCCCCCTTCCTTCACTCGCTAGCTTCCTGTTAAGAAAGAATGCCCAGGCAAGAGCCCCTTTTCTTATAGACAGTGAAGTTCCACGCGCATTACTACACGTGTCAATGACAGCGGTAGAAACAAACAAGACAAACGTTTCCCAGACGACCTTCAAATCCGTCAGTCAAAAATAAAAGAGAAATTTCTTTTTACGTCAATAGGAAGATCATTGCGCAATCGTTTTCTGAGATATTTTATCAGTCTACGATGGTGTTATGCTGAATTCCTCTCGCAAAAATCACGCCAAACTCTTTCTTGCAATAGAAGGGATAAATAAATTAATGAGATAATGGGACTCAACGAAATCGATCATATTAAAAAATATCATCTAATAGCTTCCACCATTATCTTAAGGCCCAACGTGCGCAGCATGCGTTGGAATAATCTTCGCATGGTAGTTCTAGATAGACCCTAATGAATTATATGCCCTCGAGAACAACACAGCCACCGTGGAGAGCAGCAATATAACGAAGAGGTACAGAACTATCACAACGAAGGATGCAGCCCCACATTGGACTATTCGGGAGAGGGAAGAGAGGAGCTTCCATGCGGCAGAGAGGAGGCAATGTTAATGGAAAACGTGATCGGGGCCTTCATATCGAGAGCATCCAACCCCTAACCTTGCTTACATAGGGCTCAAACTGGATCACAGTTGCTGATTCTTATTTCCACGCTGATTTTAAGATTACAGTCCGAAACAAATGTGGAACCTGAATTTTAACTGAGTAAGCTTTGGGCATATCTAACCTATTCGCCCATAATACCCCGCATGCGGCCTCATAATGTTGTTAATGCGTAAAGAATGATGGCTCGAATAACTGAAGTTGTTGCCTTGATATCTTCCTCATAGGTAAGCACTGGATTTGCCATGTGATTTAGAAGATCAACGACTAGCATAAAATGTCGTGCGATACCTTCCCTTTATAATATTCCCTTTTTACGGTCTGTTGATCGCAATATCATCCCCACGCGGAGGATAGTATCACATATTTCTCTTCTTCGATAGTAAAACTCTCACCAAGATGAGGCACCTTGCCTTGATTCGGCACTCTACTACTACTTGTTGTGACCATCGACCCTCAGTGACTCCCCAGAGAAATGGAAGCTGATGATGCCGTCAACGAGCTGCGAGACGACTGGACATGGGTAAACTCCGTGGCCCTCCTCTACGTTGGAGTGGCGCTGGTAAATAAGAAATATAATGATCTTTATATTCCGTATGGTTTGCCACATTCCAGGAACTCCTTACTCTTTGTATTCCGTTTGGTTTACCACCAGGTCATGTTGGGGGTGATGAAGGAGATATGCCGGATTTATTGGGTTTCCACTTGCTAGCATGGAAAATCGGGTCAAGAGCAGCCCCCATGGCGCTCTGGATGAAGCTCGCGTGCGAATGCACGGATCCTTGCCAGCTACGTGCCATCAGTCCTGTGCGACCACCATGAAAGAACTTCGCTAGCAGAAGGCGATGAAGAGGAGGCTACTGGAGGAGTTTCGAAACAGATGGCATGCTTCTGCGGAGCCTCCGAGCAGGAAAAAGGCCCAGAAACGCCCATGAAAATGAAGATTGAAAACACGTCTCGAACTATCGTCGAGGAGTTCCATTTACTCCTCTCACCCCACCATTCTACATCCTCGACCAACCCGAGGAAAGGATCCTTTTTCTTCCCTTCCCCGTCTGGCGTGGGAGCAAATGACGGCCACAGAAGTCAAGTATTTTACCCTACTCCCGAATCCTGCCCCTATGGTTTCGAGAGGGAGGACACCTCCAGATGTAGAAGTACGCCGTCATTTCTAGGCTTGTGAGCATACTGTAGATCTCTCTCTCTCTCTCTCTCTCTCTCTCTCTCTCTCTCTCTCTCTCTCTCTCTCTCTCTCTCTCTCTCGCTGAGCTCTCATTCAATAGATACATATACATATACATATACATCCAGGTCAGCTGCCAACTGACCTTGTCGTCAGGAGCCTTGCTTGGCAGACTGTACAAGTTTGGACGAGATAAAACAATGGAAACAGCGAGTACTACTGCATTCCCGAATGGATTTTCACATCGTTTATTGTTGGCTGGTTTCGTTAGATTTATTTTTGAGAACATGAACAAGAAAAAAAATCGAATTAAAAAGTCCAAGAAATCAAAACAATGGCCAGTGTCATAATCCGTGAGGAATGTTTTCAGTCCTCATGGATGATCTTCTCCTTATAAGAGGTTGATTAGGAATTTCCGTGTCGTCATGGCATCAACCAGTATTTAAATGGTCAAAGGCAGCAAAGAATGATTTTTAATTAGGCGCTAGTGTTCACACTACTAAACTTTATGTTCCACTCTGACTTGGACATTCGGGTCCCCTTATCCGAAAGAGAGTGCCTCGAAATTTTCAACAAGTAATGTGAGATAAAGCAATACTAATCAACATATGTTTAAAAATTTATTTTTTGGTACGACTATTAGCATTAACAGTCTTACTTAAATTGTAGACGATTACTTTGCGCATCAAAAAATGTCATCCAAGTCTGAGAAAAAAAAGAAACTATGGGGAGATATTGAGCTCTTTAATGAATTAATCGAAGAGACGTTGATGCTTCTAAACTGATGTAAGATACATAGATATTTACATCTAAACGAGGTTTGAGTTCTAAATATCAATAGTGTGTCTACAAAATCATTTAAATGGGTAAAATAAAAATATTCGTGGGTATCTAAATTAGGAACCGTGAATATTTAAGTTTGAAACTGATTCCAATTTGAGGTATTTCAAGAGCACTATCCTGTTGAAAGCTTGTAAAAGAGTTTTGCACTATTTCATGGGCAAAGACTTTGTCGTTTCCTCTTTCAAGATGGTAAATATTGTTCAGCACATGAAGTGTGAACTAGACCCACGTTTGCATCGAAATTTAGATACTAATGCAAACATGATGCAAACTTATTGACGAACTTTATCCATCAATAGGTTCATATCTGAAAAATTCAGATAAGTTCTTTCAAAGTTGACTATTTGTACTTTTATTAGAAACTATTAAAGTTTCCTAATCGTGTCTTACATAATGGCTGTCATTGCTGTCAATCCAATGTTTTACTCTAAAGGTTATTATTTACACCTTGTCCAAAACCTGTATAGTAGTCATGCAATTGTCGAGCCTTAGAGCAGTAGATGAAGAACTAGAGATTACTTTGGGAGCCGGACTATGACTTCATTTTCGAGGCTGGATTTTTTAAGTGGGAAAGCTAGAAACCATATCTTACCCACAATCTTTTCTCACATTAAAAATGCATCCTTGAACAGGTAGAAAATGAATATTTCTTGTATCTCTAGTTTTGATATTTTGACAAGCCAAGAAATGACTATCCTATATAAACAGCTAAAATAATAACTCTAGTTTTCATATTACAGCATAGAGAGAATTAATTTTCCATATTATATGTCACTTGCATATGGATGCATGATCATTAAAAAGTTCCTTGGAAGAAGAGTCCAATGCGATAAACTGTGTGAAAAATTCAAGGTGTTGAATTGATATTGATTTTACAGAATTAATGTGAAATATTTCTAGCAATCAGGTAACTATCAAAGTAGCCTATTAACCTAGAAATCGGGTGTGACCTGGCATACTCTATAATAAAGAGAAGCATCAGCTGAAATTGATTCAAGATGAGTCAAGAGGAAAGAAAGATGAAGAACGAGATAGAATTCCAACTAAAATCTTGAATAAGCTTCAAAACCAACCTTCTTCCAAGAGTCTATGCCAAATAGTTGCAACCTTGAGAATCTAAAAGCTTCATGAAGCTACTATGCTCAAGTTCGGGACTACTCAGGATTCTCTAATGAGAATCAAGAAGATCAAGCTTATGAGAAGCATTGTGTTGAACACCTAAAAATAGTAGCATGTTCTACCTGAGGAGTTATCTAATGTCATTATCAACACTAAGAGAGGGGGAGCCTTCTATTTGCCCCCCTATAATCGCGAATATAGATGAGGGGAGTGGGTTTCTCTTGTTTTGCCCCTTAAAGCCATGAACATCGACCAGGTTTTTGGATAAAATTCTTAATTAGTTGGAGCTGTGAGTAAGGATGTCGAGACATGTAATTCAATCAATAATTTAGTACATTGTAATTTGAAACAACTTCAAATAATGGTATCTGCTGATACAAGTGACAAGAAGCGTCAGCACTACAAAGTACGCAGGTTCTTTTTTATTTTTTAAAACTAACCTACGATTTGAAGATAAACTTTAAACCTAAGTTATTAATCACAAGTAAGATTTGAAAGAAGTTATTTCAACATAAACTCATCTAAAGAAGGATGATGCTCTTTTCTTCTATAATTTAGATACATATAAAAATAATATGAACACAAACAAAATAAAATGAAGGGTTATTGATGTTTACCTACAAGCCATTTGAATCAAAGATAGTCACTTGTATTTTTTATCCAGCTTCTTAGGTATCAACAAACTATGTGTTTCTAATTATTTAGCTTTCATTAGAGATAGTTATTGTTGGAGTGTGGAGAATGCTGTATTGAGCCGTCATGGGTTCTAATGAGCAAAATTTAATTTTTGGGGAATATGTGCCCTTTGTCCCTCTATATTTTTCCAAACCCCATGATAAGAGGGGGGGGAAGCCGTTACTTCTGTTAGGATGTGCAAGAGCATTGTCCACTGTCATGGCAAGGGCTGTAAGACGATTCTATGCTGAAGAAAAAATTTCCCTGTGCAACCATAGACACAAGACGAATTCTCTGAACAACATTTAAGTCTAGTCTATCTCTCTATCTTTGCCTCTACCTCTACCTCTTCTCTCTCTGATGTGATTTGCATCGATTTTACGTTGTGTAAGATGTGAAATGAGGAAGCTCATCTCCCCAAGTAATTATGCCTTCTACAAATATGTACGTCCCTATTGACACCACACACCCATCTTTGAACCTCACTAATCCACCAAAATACATAATCTCCATGTTGTCTTCCAAATACCACCGCAACTCGTCTGATTACTCGCAAAGAGACTAGCCAAGTAAATATTAATAAACCTAATTATGTTAAGTTCCTCTCTCCAAATAATGATTGTCACACTTATAAAACCCTAACCTTTACTACTTTCTACTCTTACGTATTGAGGTGCCTTCTGAAATTGGCAGGAGATGGTCACAAAGTTGGCTAGAAAGGGAAGATTTCACCAGCCCCATACTTCCGAGACATTCTTTTTATGACTAATGGTATGTTATTTTGTTTCAGGAGAAAACTAACATGGCTAATTCACAACCTAAAAAAAAACTCAATAAATATTTATCAAAATTAAACATATTTTTATTGAAGGATTAAATATTTAATCCTTCAATAAATACACCAAGTTTAAAAAACAGGTGCAGGCATCGCTCAATTAATTTCTTCCAAAGTAAATAAAATAATACTATCGTTTACCTAATAATTTAAATAAATCAACCTAAGTTAAATAGCATTGCTACATGTTGGACTGTGTGAGATTGATTAACATAGCACCTGAGTTTCTGCATAGAATGAGAACAACAAATATTTCTGTAATATGCTTTACAACACCTTTATTCTAGGATTCAGTCAATTAGTCAGGTCTAAATTTCTACGCTCCACATTACACTACCATAGTTTACAATTCGGAGCTAAATGTGAGCAATCTTGGATACAAAGACTCATTATTTCAACCTAATAATGCAGTATGGAAACTCAACATTCAAAGTTCTTCAGCCCGTCTCAAGTCCCAAGTTCTTAAACATGCATGAAAGCACTAGTATTTCGCTATATAAACCCTCACTGACGATGAAGAGATGCTTGCATCATTGTCTACAACTTGATCCAAAGAATGTGATGTATATTCATCAAGATACAGTCATCCTCACAAAAAGTCCGCCTCATAGTGGGTTCGATTAGGTCACGCAATATCGTTATTTTTGTTGAAAGAAAGATAAAAGTGACTCACTGATGTGCAGGAATATAAATAAAAGATGATCAGCACACATCATGCTCAGTGATATCACAGAAGCTTTGACAACGTCTCAATGCTTAGTATTCCTGGAGAATCCATACAAGGTAGGAAAACAGCAGCAGCGTGAGCAGCCTATTCATCATCAAAACTGCGGCACTGTGTGGCACTAGACTAGGCAGAATGCCCACTTGATAAGATGACATGCAGACGACTGCGACGATTACGATGGAGATAGATCAAAATTCCCGGTGGTAATAGATCATTTTACCAGTTTTTACCTCCTCGATGCGGCATTGAGCTTTTCTACCTCCTCAACATTGAGCTACCTTCCTCAAAGGCGCAATGAAGCATAGCATACTCAAGAAAACTGCAGCCATAGTCAATGACGACAAGAAGTGCTGATCCTAGTGCCGCTGCAGACAGAAGTCAAAGTGAACCAGAGGCCATCTCCGCCTGAACGAAGGACACCTCCAGCTCGAGAAGAACCTGCAAGAAGTTCAAATAGTAGCAACCGATTTCCAAGCTCTAAGTTAGGACAACCAAATCCAAGATAGAAGCAAACCGGACACCAACCGCTGTGCCTCCATCAGAGTGTGAGAGTGCGATTTTCAGCGATAAAGATTAGCTACGTATGACTGAACTTTTTTGGAGACAATTACATGGGATTTCATTAGAAAGAAACCTCCTGCAAGAAGAACCAGTATGCTGCTTGGACTGAACAAAAAACCAGAAAAACAGACCAGAAGAATGTGTCAGCATTATCTGACAACCGCCCTCCCCTCCATTTCCCAGTTTTCTGCCAGAACAATTGAGAGATGCAACTCTCATTTTCTCAAATACATCATTCACTGTAGTTTCCATGCTCAAAGAATTTCTCACCAACTATCACATTTCAGAAGGGTGAAAGAAGGCCTCCCATTTCCCAAATTTCGCGCTTAGGCCTGTCATCTTCCATCTCCAGTTCAGAATCTGAGTTAGAGGCGAAAATCGTTTGCAAAAATGCATTCACCTCTTCAGCATCACACATCACCCTGACAGTCATTGAAGACTCCTGTCACACTGTAAGACATCAAAGATTTATACGTCAGTTAATTTCTTTTGATTTTCGGTCTTATATGCAAGTTCAAATAAAAACGACGAGTATCAATATGACTTGTGAAACCTTCTTTGATGTGAGGATGAACATCGACAAAAGGAGAGAGGAAAAGAGAAATGTTTGACATAGGCAGTCCGACAAGGTCAACCTTCGACAAACATTCTTCAGTCATCATTGTCTCCAAAGAGTAAGAAGAAACTGCGTTTTAGAACCAAAAGTAAACAAGTTTATCCCATGATCCCTAATCTTACTTTGCTAGCTGTCAACTTTACAAAGCCGCTCAACATATACTTTCTTTTCTACCCAATCTATGGCTCTGCTTTTCGGTTTTTTCTTCATGTTCTCCATGATTATCAAGGTTCAAAAGCATCTCAAAGTTTAGCACTTCGCAAAGCAAAGCCAGGACCGAGAGCATGAGAAAAATATGATAGTTGTATCTAGTATCTAATCAAATCTGATGATCAACCAAATCTCAGACAAATTGCATTCTAGGTTCATACTAAACCTATTAAATTATCAGGTGCAGATCCATCAAGGATGATACCTCTTCTGAAACATCAGGGACACAAAGCAGTTCAGTATCTTTTGTCGTCCCTTTTCACCTCTGCTCCCAGCTGATTTCTATGTAAACCAGTTCTCTTCCTAATTCGAACTTTTATTTTAAAATATGAAATTCCCATAAGAACTGATATACTAATGTGTTACCTTTTGGAACCAGAATTTGAATATGCTAATTTGTTATCAGAATCCATTAGAAGTCCAACTCTTCGCCTCCAATGCCCTTATTGGAGCAAACACTTCGATCAAGTATGACCCAGGCCCTGTCCAAAACTTATTTGTGCATCTCCCTTGACTCATAAAACTACATATAATTTAGGACTAGCACCTAAATTGTGTCAATATCTTTTTTCAGGGAAGATAGTTTCAGGGATTGGTCCATACAGGCATAATAATGCTGTTTCCAGAAGGTACTGTGCGATCATGGCTCAAGATTCCTCGTTCAATTACACAAAAGAAATAAAGAAAGGCCGGAGTGTGTTCTGACAAGGTGGCAAACTACAGTCAGTGACACCCATCAAACATTTCCCGCTATTTTTCTTTTTTCAATGGCACCTGTAACAGGCATGTAGTTTTCTACCTTGTATTGTCAAGAACACTAAGTAACACAAGTCCCTGCGGTTAGGCGTCCGATATTCAGCACATGGACTAAAACAACAAAATTGATAGCATCAACTTGCTTCCTGTCATTTGCAAGCGCTGAATATAAAAGTTTTGAAATTTCAGGTTATTCTCATGTAAATCGTGTAATGCACATTAAAAGAATATCTCTTCACGGTCGACCACTGATAATTTTTTGTTCATTCTCTACCGTGGTTCTAGGGATGCGATTCAACATGTTCGCTGTCATGGCAGTTATCTGCACTTTTCGTATGTTAGTTCCCTAGTACAGTGGTAGTCGAATCATAGGATAAACATGCCACAGCTAACTACTTTTCAGTCTTTAGTAAGCAGAATAACCATGTTGAAGACATAAATTGCAACTTTAGGCTATGTACATGGTCAGAGCCGAAATAAGATAGATCTTCATTAAATGAAATCAGAGTGATCCTTTTAAGGTGAAAGTGACATACCTATCATATGACAAAAAGGCATCACCTATCTTTCCTGCAACCTTGTTCCGTACCTTTCGGACACAAACCTGCAAATAAACTGTTAATTCTGGCCGAGATCATTATTTAAGCTGACAAAAGGTCGGACTAAGCTTTTACGTCCAACCTTTACACTGTCGAGAGGCCCTGCACTTTCATCCCGATTGCGATGAATGACCACACCATTGTCACATTTATTCATAAAGTGTGCACTTCCACTTATATCATACAAATTTGGAGCAGAACCAGTCCAATTTTGAAGCTGAAAATTGAAATACAGAAAAGAATAAATGTTTTTTATCATCGTGTCAAGATCGTGAACCCCACCATATACGACAACAGGTGTATACCTGTCTAGGATGAGCAACAAACCACACATGGCATGAATGATGCTGAGCAAAACGCTTGATTTTAGTAAGCATCTGACTCACATATTCTGTCTCTGTCCTGTTACAATATAAAACGAGAAGCACAGTAAATGAATCTTATTTGTAAAGAACACATAAAAGAGAATCAAATAGAAGGCAGAATGACTCTTTCCATGACAAGAACTCTGTTCATTTAAGAGCCTCAAATTCTTATCTCATAGAAAATACACAGCATCAGCCGATGGGTCTAGGTATGTCAAGCCTGACCCTAATTTGGCCGGACCTGGTTTGGGGAAGCTTTAGTTCAAACATTGATTAAGCATTGATTCCAACACTGGTCAGTCCCGAGCATAATCAGCTACAAAGTTAGATTAACTGAGGAATGCTATGATTGAAGTGTTTAGAAAGGAAATAATGATCAATGAACTAAAAGCAGTTTTATATAACTGAATCCCTACCAATTCAATTCTTCAAAATAAACAGCTACGCAATAAAATATTGATGGTTTTCTCTGACAGCTAATTCGAGACACTTTATACTTAGTGCTTTATTATCATTACAATAATTAAATATGCGTACCATTAGGTTTTTCCCATAGATATTCACAACGGAAAAAATAAAATAAATCAAAATGGTGTTTTAAATTCCTCTAAAACTAATTTCAATTTTCTAAATGATGATGGCAATGATGAAGATGATGATAATAAAGGCAAATCACAAACAAAGAAAATTCATTCAAATAAAGCATAAGAATATATGAAAAAATATGAATAATGTGGTTAATGAAATAATCGTATGATTTATTCGAAGTACCATTTCCCAATAGAATCATTTCCTTGTATTGGGAAAATTAACATCATCATACGCTAATTTTATTCTTAAATAGTATAATCTAAATATAAATTAACGACAGGAACAAAAGTGTCCTTGTTCACATGGTAAACATCATCTTTCAAAACAATTGAACTTTAATTTTGTCAAGAGATGCACGCTCAATGACCTTTTCCCTTTTAAGAGTGGAGTATCTAACTTGATAAAAAAAGAGCTATTTGAAATATGGGATCACTAACAATCGGACAATAATCACCCAAGAGTAAGACATAACGATGTCAAACACAGAGCTATCAGAAGACAACAAAATGTGCTTGTCCATTGTGAGGGTTGAAGGAATTATGCGCAAGAGGCCTTTTCATGGAAAAAATGTTAAAATATGATGGCCTTGAAGTAGAAATCCGCTATTATGCCTAAGAAAGAAATAAAAATTATAAGCCCGAGCATGACACCAGAAAACTCACTGATTTGATTGTCGCTGATGGTCCAATTCATTATATGGGTCAATCACAAGTCCACGAACCCCATGTCGTAAAACAGCAGCTTTAGCAAGATTCAGCACCCAGTTGATTGAAGGGAGACAATCATCTTCACATCTGTTTCATCAAAAAAGAAGAAGCATATCAAGATGACAAGTATGATGAAGATGCCGACGACTATGATGATAAAATAGCATATATCAATAGCGTCAAACCTTAAAGATCGCTGCAGTAGAAAGAAAATGAATGTCCCCAATTAAAAATAAGAAAATAGGTACAATAAACAGTAGATTTATAATCATTGAAACTTTTCAAGATTATTTTTATCTTCAACCAGCGAGGAGACTATCTCTCGTCAGAGAAAACTAGCCTGAATGTCAAAGATAAACGTACCGTATCAAATGGAATGTATTATCCAGCCACTCTTTCCCTTGCTCCAAATCTTCAATCGTCATGCGCTCAAATGACGCTCCGTATCTACGAAAAAGGGGCATCCATTCAGGCAATATGAGCCGCTGATTGCAGACTATTTTTTAATATATTTAATTTGGCATAACCGCCTGTTCTAAGCACTATGAAGCCACACATTAGGGTTATATTTAATCTGAAATAGTCAACTCTTCCGAGTACTATGAGGCAAATAAAAAGTATCGAAATTAAAAATAGCTAAAGCTGCTAGACATATTTCTTAAAAATAGTCAGATCTGGCAAATATCTTGAAAAAAAGGGAGAACTGGAAAAGATACATGCCCGCCCCTATTTTTCATTCATATTTCAATTATATTGAACAAAACAACAAATACCTTTAAGGGGATGGTCATCAAGTAATCTCCGTTGGACCACATTTTCAATTTAAGCCTGAATCAAGGTTAATGCATTACCATTGTGTACGTCCTCTTAATTCTATCAAAATCTGTGTTTAAGCAATGTCACATTTTGGAAGCCCTTTCCTAACTTATTAATGTTGGAATAGTCCCATCTTTGCTGAACAAACAGAACCTGCGATCAAAGCCTCCACATTGCCATTTGTCTTTGTGTTTGGCAACCCGATTACTGAAACATGACACCAAAGTCCCAGGTTCGATTCTTGGACTGCAGCCACCTTTTTTGTATGGTTCATGTGGCCAAAAAGGAGGGGATGGCTTGCAGATCAAGGTGCGAATTAGGATAATATTAGTCCGGAAAATAAAAAAAACTTATAGTTAAAATAGATGGGAATACACTAATTGTACTAAAAATAGCAATGGATGAAACTGAAGGATAGTTACTGAGGTCTACCGATTAATGCCAATCGCACCAAGCTCATACTCTCCTACAGCTAATAGAAAAATATTCAGCTGGGTCATGACTGGCCAAAATGAATTAACAAGCATACGGAATCCCATTCACCCAAATAATGGTAACCTATAAAATAATAAGTAAAATAAATGATTTCAAAAGCGGACACTTTCCAAATTATAAATTAGTCACTAAACATGCCTAACATTTTCCCATGGATGAATGTTTCCAAAATGAGAATTGAAAGTTGATGTCCAAAAGAAGATGCAGGATACGGTCATGTAATCTAAGAATTCTCATGGACGAGACACTGCCTTTACAGATTCCAACTGGATTCTATAATTGGTGGATCTAGTATTAAAGAGTCTTTGGAAAGTTCTAAAAAAATGGCATAAATTTTTCATTTATCAACTTTTTGAAATAGACTCACAAGATTTTTACTTTTGTCCCGTAGAGCAACAAAAGTGGAATGTGTAAGAAAAGTTGAACTGCTGATTCAATCACAATCGTAACACAGGGCAAACAACTTCAAACATCTTTCCACATGTGCTGCGCTTTATGCTTCCATCAAAGCTTAGTCAACAGAAAAACAATATTTCCAACACAGCTGCGACTGATGAAGGGAAGAGATAAAGAGTTCATCTTTAAGAATTAACCAATCAAAGAAAATTCAACATCAGGTGGGCAACCAGGTTTGAGGGCCTATCAATTGTCACGAACTAACAAGCTGATACACATGTCATTTGCATCCCGTCCTCTTCTAGACACTTCCCTACAGATGACTATTGGTCTCATAAAACAATGTTAAAAAAATTGTCCTGAAGATCAAACTTCCCGGTCAACTTTTTGCACGAGATTTTACCCGTCACACTTCAATGTTGAACCTATCTACAGAATTATACAGAAATATTCAACAACTCGTTCCAACATAGATCAATCCGCACTATGTGACTCAGTTGCATCAATTTATCCTGGAAGCATAATTTAAGGCTTCGAAGAAAATACATTGTTGATTAAGAGTCTTATCAAGAAATATGATCAGCGAGATGCAACCCATTCATCTTTAACTGACACGAACTTTTTGATGTAACCTTCTAGAAAGATCCATTGTCGAGTTACCAAGTCTCTGATGACCAATTTTTAGAGATAATGGAATTGACAAAGTACCAGCTAAAACAGGAGCTACAAGAAAAGTCAGCAGAAGTATCACCAAGACAGTAGAAAAAGAAAAAAGAATAAATACTAATGTGATCCCCCATTTACTTGAGGAACGTTTTCCAACATCTAAAAAACACAACTTTTGATCGTTCTCAGAACATAAAAGCCCACAACCTGGAATGTAACCTGGAAGTTGAAACTACAACCGACATTTATAAAGAAAGGCCTCCTTACTTTCTGAAAGCATATTTTTATAGAAGGAAACAAACATACATCTTTACAACAAGTGGGCAAAACTATATAATGAGCAACCCGGAAAAGAAATTAACTACCAAGCAAAAAAAAAAAAAAATCAAAACCTATATAACCCTAAAATTTACCGAGCATTGAAGAAAGGTTTCTTGATGTGCTTCTCCAGCAGCTTCCTTGCATGCTCCCGAACCTAAGAGAATGCACAAGGTAGATGGTTAAATTACATTTTAATGAAGTCGTATTCATTCTAGCAATTGGGTGTCCACAGTGTCCACTAAACAAGCACACCAAAAGCAAGCACGATCAAGCATCAAACACCACGCCCCCCCGCCCCCCCGGGTCCTCCTGAAGTTTTGTTTGGAAATATATCCTGCCTTGTTTTCCATAGAGCAAAGAGCAAAGGTCCATCCAGCAGCTTCGTTAAGGTTGCAAAGTAAAGCATCAATCCATTCGCTTTTTCCAGAATTCGGAACTCCAGTGACAATAGTTAGTTCTCCAGGCACAACCTACTTGGCAACAGAAAAAATATCAACAAATAATGAGGGCGAATATAGCTAACTAGACCATATCTTTCTAAAAAGCAATTAATTTCAAACAATGTTGCCTGGGCAAGATGAAAAAACAGGAATTTATGTTAATTTACAACTGCTACAAGTAAAATCATATATTTATGACAGTAAGTAATCTACGAGCATACATAAACTACTTAAAAATCTTATGAAAAATTTTCTCACAGGGTTATGTACTAATCTAGTCCACAAACACGCAAATTATTTTTTAATGAATATAACTATCAATAAAAAATTCTTCTTTCCAAGGAAACAACGTGTGCCCTTGTTACAAAGATCCTTTTCCTCTCTCTTCCGACACTGAATAACAAAAAAATGCACACCATTCATGAGATGGACCTAAACGCATCTCAATCATTTACAATAAAACCACTTTTCAAATCTTAATAAGAACCCTTGAACTGAACAACTATTCCCGAGTAAAGCACAATGCAATGAGAATGTGCTAACGAAACACTAGCCTCCAACATCCTATTTTAAAAATATAGAATCAAAATTCAGCAAAACTGTTTACTAACACACAAAAAGCGAACAAAATTGAAACAATCCAGTTATTAGATAACAGTTATCTTTCAATAATGTTACCTTCAAAAACCTGACGTCAAAATAGTACATGTGACAACTGGCAACATTATTCACATCGATATCATAAAATAGGTCACAACTATAAACTGTGAAAAATGAATGCATCAAAGCTAAGTGATCACAAATGGAAAAAAATTGATGTTTCGTAGAAAAATTGATAAGATATCCCACTTAAGCTCAATGTGTAATAGCTTCACCCCGATTTTTTATCTTCATCAAACCCAACGGTATATTTTTTTCTCTTTCCTCCATAACTTCCAGTTGTTAGGTGCGTTCATGTCTTTTAAAGGCTCATATCCCTTATTTACAGACAATGCACCTATTAAGCGATTGATTCTTGTGTCATTACTTGATAATATTTTACTGGCGATTGGACTTGATAATGACCTTCCATACGGAAGTTGTAGCACAATTGAATACATTCTTTCAACTTGTTGTCCACGGCGTCCCACTTGGGAATGATACCAAGACACGAAAGTTGGTGTCACGACAAATATTTAATTAATCTACTTAGCAATTAATGTCCAAATTTACATAAATAGCATATTTTAACCATTAATTTAAAAGATTATAAAGTATGAATAACAGTCCCAATAATGTCTAAACCTGTTGATTATGCACAAAAGCACGCTGAGTTATGTACATATTGTGACAGAGAGAGAGAGGGAGATCACACCCCTATCATCTTCTGAAACTGAGTGGAAGGAGCTGAGTTATATACATATATTTCATAGTTCATACCACCAGTTAAGGATGGGTCACTAATCTTCTTTACTTGAGTCCGTTCAAAGGACCAGACCTCAAAGCTAACCGATGACGTCTTTACATAGGATACACCATGAATGTGACTGATTTAAGTAGTCGTCTGTAAATTTCAATTTCAACGAAGGATGGGCAACTTATTAAATAACCTTTTTGAGTAGTCACTGTAGGGTTATGTTCGTAGTTGGGCCGCTAGCAAGGTGCCTTGCTTTGAAAACCAGTAGATCGTAGGAAACATCGAAACTTCCTTTGACCAAGGTAATTGTTTATAATGTGTTAAGGAATATGGCTGGTGGGGACTTAGGGACAGGTGTAACAAGATAAAAGGGATATTTGATGGCAAATTAGATGGGAGGTCCAGAATAGGATTGACAATGATTATACCTTGATCCTGTAGACGAAGACTTGTAGCCGACGATCTTGGAGCAAACAGTCCAACTATCCTCCTCTTGGAGATATAAAGATTCCACAACTCAAAAAGAAACCAGGGAACAAACAAGGACGAACTAATTCTCAGCTTCATGCTTTGGAACCCTGATTTTACACCGGGAAAGGACCTCCAAGACCCTTGTGGAGAACGAGATGGAAGCCAAATTTTCATTCAAAAGGTTCTTTTCTGGGCCTGAAGTTCAGTCTTCTATTCATAGGAAAAACATGAGGCCTTTGAGAGGGTGCGCATTCTTAGATCTGGCCGAAAAATCCCAACAGCTCCGATAACTAATGGGCTGGAATTTCGGCCTTAATGCAATTAAAAAATAATGCAAATGGTTGGGATACCCAGTGTCTTTAATAGATTTTAAATACTTCAAGAAACGGGCAAAAATGGTCAAAGATAGACTTGGGACCTAATGACCTACCAAAATCAGCAAAAGAAATCCCTAATTGCATTATTTACCAAGTCCAGCCGTGTGCCTCCATCGAGTGTGGACATTGACAAGTGCATTGCCGACCCTGATCCCCAGATGACGAGGATGTAGCAACTGGAGGGGAAATATAGCAGTCACCCTTACAGCAAGAAATGCTCCTTGTTTGTAGTAGGGAGAAAATATACTTTTAGAAATTCCCCATGTTCTTGGAGAAGTATTTTAAAATGTTTTCAGTGAACATGGACCCCTGGATGCCAAAGGCATCCTTGGGATGATCTCATAGTTCCCACAAAGTGGAGACGATGTGGTCGGTCCATGGATTTTCCTTCCTTTTGTCACATTTCGCTAAAACCGTTGGTCCGACCTAGGATAATAAGCTCATAAGCTTGGTCTTATCTCACCATCAAGAAACGACCATGGTGAGAATGAAAGTGGTGCACATTCTTATGTAACAGAAACATTATGTACCCCGTTCAAGGAAACCTCTGGAGCACAAATCTAAAGAGAATCATACTAGGCATAGCAGATCCGTCCTCCAAGAACTATGGTTAGTAAACCAGCGCTCAAGAAAAGCGAAGAGCACCAACATCCACTGGTTCACTGACAACGAAATGAAAAGAGAAAAGGGGACCGCAGTTAGGGGCCTGGTGTCAGTTCCAAAATGCACATAGAGATCCTTGGCTATTATTTCGAGGAAAAGGCATTGTATAACTTTATGAGGAAAGTTTCATCCACAGACATGCAGTTAGAACCTAAATAACGCAAATCAGTTTGGTTTGCAACCAACAAATCCAACTATGGATGCAAGACCGTACAATGAAACTTCATTAAAGAATCACTCATTCAAGACAAGGATTCCCGTCGAGACAAAACCATTTCTATTACAACAGTGAATGCAATAATGAGAATGCAGGACCACAAATACACATTCACATAGAAACGGCATGAGCATCGTGAAGCCGAAGGAATAATAATGCAAATCAACCATATCAATAAAAAGCCAAGAAAAAGGGATGTTTACTGAAAACTGCAAGAACATAAGACGGGGCTGTCTAACCTTTTCATAAAATCTGGTAAATAAAACACCTTTCCGACCAATTAATGAAAAGAAATCATGCATGAATGTGCTTACCCTGTAAAATTCGTCTACTCCGCTCCATCCAGTGGTGACACCAAGTTCGTTGCCATGGCTTAAATTATAGTAAGAATCAATTTCATGAAAGTAACTACTGAATCTGAAAAGACCCTTAATTGGATAAAGCTCAGCATCTTCAATTGCTCTCCTCACAGCATCCGCCCCCAAGCACATAAGCACCTGAAAGAAGAATAGAAAAAAGTTCATGACAGAAAAATTGTAGGCATAAGCAAAGGAATCAAATAAAAAATAACAGCACAATCATATAAGCTACCTTATACAACTTCAGGTGCAAATAAAATGACTTGTCGAATAAAGATTCTGATTGAAGACAGCCGGGCTCTTTTTTTGGTACTAAAATTGCACTTTAAAAAATGCATGAATAGCTCAGAAACTTATAAGAGAATCTCCGTCTGGTATTCATCATAATAATTCAGTAAAAATCGCTTCTCACATATATCCCACTAGAATGTGAAAGAATTAATAGTTTTACATTATTATGCACATAAAAGCAACCCATACACCATATTAGTCTCAATGTCAACAAACTGGAAGATGAATCAATGTTTATACCGACAGAACTGCACATCATCAAGAAAAAGATAGTTTCATTGTGAAACTGAGCTCTCATGGAATGATTAAATTCAGCGGCAAAAGATAATTTTCTAGCAACAAAATTACAGTTAAATCAGCTACACTAGGGCATTAAATTAGAGGTATATTGCATTAATTTTGAAGACGTAGTAGAAAAGTGAAGAAAGAAATTTGATTCCTCATTCACCTCGTCCATAAAAGTAACAGCACAGATGTTGTGTGCAATTAATTAAGGACCTATTGACTGTAGCTCATCAGGTGATCATAATAAGGAAAGAAATGGCATGCGATGCATGGCAACAAAAGGAAGCCTAATTATTAATTATAAAAAAGAAAATCATGGTCTACGGTAAGAACAGTCCTGTGCTGATTACCATAAAACTAAGCTTGCGACCACAAATATGGGACTATTCACTCGCTAATTCGTCTTAAGTTAGATTGCCCGGTAGTTTTAATATGATACCAGACCCAATGTTTGCATTTGAGCTTCGTGCACCCCATCTATACTGTGTACGTGATAAGGCCCAAAAGTTGGTTTGCACATAAAGGGGCGGATTACGAGTAGTATGGTATTCGTAGCAATTAAAGTAGCCATTAAAGATGGACTGTTACACTCAATTTTAACTGATTCTGAATTTGACAGCCCAATAACTTTGACAGATTGCTAGAATTCACATAGTAAATCGTCCAAATTATATCACAAATTTATTCAATCGAATGTAATTGATTAGTTATTGACAACAAAGGACTACCAATATCAAAATAAGATCATATTCAGAACATATGAAGGCCGTTTACCCTCTAAAAGCAAAAATTATTAGAGCAAGGTTTCGACCATATTTGATGACAATGATTTTTCAGATAATATATTTTTAATGCTTTGATAATGTTATTTACTAACTCTAATGGAGTTTATAACCATATTTTCTCTTTTGTAAGCTGATCAAATATTTAATGCCATTAAGGATAACTTTTCCAGTAGATCACAACAGACTGTTTGGCATAAAGATGAAACAAAACATGTTATCCTAAAAAATTGGATGTGAACCTTTCTCCATTTTTAAATCCATCCGGTAAAATACTTACCATATTTTTTATAAATGACTTTACTTAATTATCAACTTTTAGGAAGTTTCAATTGCAGTTCCATATAAATCTAAGGTCTTTGTGGAGCAAGTATTCCAACAAGCACCCAAGTGACGAATAAACATATCATCATACCCCCTCAAGTTAGCCAAGACATGCACCTTTTACACAAACTTGTCTCCTGGACTATTCCTAGCTGATTGGATGAGTCCGCAATACCACACTGGTGAAACAAACATAAGTTGATGATGGATATATTCATATCTCGCGTCCAACCTTAAAGTACATCTTATGTATTGATCCAAGATTTTATTTTTTTTGTCGGTCTCATCTGATCACCTAGTTTATGTACCCAAAATAACTTTCACAGCTTTTGAAAGAGAAGGTGGTGGAGACAACTCCGAGACAAAGAATCCATTAGACAGCAACACATGTGATCAACAGACATTCAGGTTCTAGATATTCTGTGCACTCTTTCATACCCTTTGAAAGAGTAAATGGAAACTCTTGAAAAGCCTACACAAAGAGAGGTTGGCTCAAGTTGACTTTGAGGCTCTGCATCCCCATGAGATTAATCACAAGACGGAAAGCATGCACATGTGTTGCCTTCCATGAGTAAGTGAACAACGTTTTCTTTATGTTCCAATTTGATATTGGCCACAGCCAGGGGGGTCGATCCCACACCACACTCTTCTTTGATCATGAGTGACTGCTGCAATCATTGCTGGTGGCCTCCTACAATTAGCATGATTCCACAATTTGGTAGTCCTTTGTTGTCAATAATTAATCAAAAAATTGTAGTGCCAGTATCTTTCTGAACAATTAGCATGATTCCACAACAAGGTCTAGGAAGATCTCTTTTTATTTGGGGAACTGGAAATATTAAAATTTGGCTAGTGAACACCAGCTATCATGACATAATGGCCTAATTTTGCAATGGCAAAGGGATACATCAATTGCTACCTGCTGAAAGGTAAGTAATATATTCAAGATGCAAAAGTGTTATTTTGAAACTGAAGATCCAACCGCACTATCAACAGCAGATTATTTTATATGTTAGTTTCAGGATAGCAGAACCATTTCATTTCCCAGCCCACTACACTTTCAAGTTTGTGCTAAGACTCAAAACAGAATACGACATTTCAGAATATAGAAATAACAGATGCATACCTAGGATGATAAATCTGGTTGTTTTCACTGTTCAGCCAAAAAACAATCAAATGTACATATCACCGCATAATGCTCTCAGAGGATGCAAGTTATCCACAGCATCAAAACAATAGCGAACGTTGGGATATAATCTCATAAAAAATTATACTAACATAAAAAATTCGAAATATCATTGATTGAGAGCATAAAAATATTTTATGGCCTCTAGGCATACGTACTGAGTGGTACCACCCATGTTGTAAGCAACATAGAGAATTCAAATCCCACTAAAACGGCACATCCAACATTAGGTACTATTATCAGACAGACGGTACTCTTTAGAGAGCTTTATACTAAAATGTCGAGAAGATATTGTACATACAATCCTTTCAAGGGCTCTATGCCAAAAGGTCAGCATTCTATTGATATTCATTTCACTTAAATGGCAATGCATATTATACTCCTATAAACCGGTTGCGAGAAAGAGAATCATTCCACTATGGAAAGCACCTCATTCGCATCCTTGAAAACTTCAACATTATTTTTCTTTGGCCAAGTAACTCTCCAGCACCTGAGTGGAATAAAAAGGAACTATTGTCAGCAGAAATCAGAAGTTCACCGGCACAGGAGAAGAACTCAAGGAAATATTCTTTCCGCCAAAACTTCAGGAAAAATGAGAAATTGAATGGAAAAATTAACCTTTCTTTACCCAAACGGCGAGCAAGCTCCTCAGCTAATGCTTGGCCAGGCTTATCAGAATCTGTTGCTAGTATAATACGTGAAGCCTAGGGAAAATAGTTCACAACATAACTTAAAAGAGATTTTGCGAGAATTTCTAATGCATTATATCTAGATTTTGTCGAATACAGCATGATACCTTTTCCAAGTATTCCTTGCAGTTCCACAGATATTGATATTTTGTGTCCTAGAGTATGGACAATAGTAAATAATTGTCAGATAGAAATACAGACGGATATACTTCAGGAAGCCTATACATTTTAATCTCTCTATCCAGTACTAAGGAGAGATGGAATTGCGTCCAAATTAAAAATAACGATCAAGCTCCACTGAGCAGTCCCCCGACAATATATTTGGGAAGACATTGGCCCACATACATAAATGCCCCCAATTAAAATGTTATACCCGGGCGTTTGCAAATTATTTACAGGACCTCCTAGAAGTTTACATAGAGAGATCCCACTTCCCCCAATACAAGAACCAGAGTGAGAATAATTAGAAAAAGAAGCTTCAAAGCAGACAAAAATGTGAAGGAAGAAGCCAAGAATTGTCAGCGAATTCTAATGGGGTACTGAACCCAACATTAATTGGGAAATTCCAATTGTAAAAATAAAATGAGAAGAACATAAGATTAGTTTGGAAAATCCACAATTATTGTAAGCCATAGAGCTGAATCCGATACTTGGGCTTCAACCTAACAACAATTTGGCACTAACCTCTCCCAAGAAAACTCCACTATGACATCAAGCTCGCTCTATCTTATTGTCAATGGACCGAATCTTATTGTCAATGGACCGAGACGCATGCTTTCACCCACCATCTACATCTCAAGGTAGCCTTCAGTCCAATTGCCTGATTTCGACATCTGAGTCATGCCGAATGAAACGAATTCTGACTTTTTAGACCCTCACAAGGATATTAAGTAGTTAATAAGTAAAAATTAAGTCTAGCGATACTCACAAACTACACAAGAGTTCACAAACTACGCAAAACTCGCATGAACTAAAAAGATAACATATTTTAAGAGTTCTAAATGAAACAAAAACCTATAAAAAATTATAGGATACTAACAACCTTTAGTAGTTCTAAGAATGTCTCAAACACAGGAAATCAAAGGAGCCTCTAAGATAAGAGAATGACTAGACTCAGATGACTCACTACTGTATCATTTGAAGCACCCAAATTTCTGCACCTAGTCTCACATTTCTTTGGACTAATGTCTCATGTAAGAAATAATGGCTGGCAGTAAGCAATAACGCTCATAAGCCTCCAGGTTTAACTTATCTGATATAAAACTTATCTTCTTCCAACAACAAAAAAAAAAAATCAAGTTTAACTTAAAAAATAGCCATATCAATAAAAATATATCTGGAGTACATGGATCTTGGGCATAGGAAGTGTTTAAAAAGAGGTTTTCCTACACTATTCCCCAAGAAAGAAAGAAAAAACGCAGCAGCATTTTCAGAAACAGGAAATACGTAAGAAAAAACATTCGTGGAGTTCATTAAAGATGAGTAATGGACGATAACTGGATGGTACCCAAGGAAGCGATTTTGAAGGAACACCATTCGAGACCACTGAAGAACAGAAAAAGGAACACTAAACACGTGTTCACTGTTAAGTCAATTGTAAACAGTTATGAGGACGAAGGATGCAGAAATTGGTGGTGGAAAATGGTTTGACGAATAAACTTTGATAAAAAATACAAAGATTTCTATGAAATTGATGAAGAAGAGACTACCCAGTTGTGACATCTTCTCTCTCTCAAGATTTAATGTCAAAAGCAAGTGTTTAGTCTAAGAGATCATTGATCAACTCTTCATAGAATGAGAGATTACAGAAAATTTTATAAAGTAGTCCAATGACGAGCCAGTAATTACAGAAACTAACAAACTTCTAGACAGTGGCATTTTGAATACACTCTCGCAGTTGATCTCGGGTGGTGGAAGATTATCTTCACCAGCTATCCTGTCAGCAACATGATTTGAAAACAATAGTGAAACAATGCAAGGGAAGTTCACTGGCATACGGCATAAGATCAACACAGCAGTATGTATCCAGTTGGTCAAGGCCAGTGAAATGGGAGATGCCTTTCAAGCTTGCCCACTGAACCTTTTAGTTTTCTTTTTCTTCTTCTTCATCAATGTCTTGTTCGATGCTGAAAGGTTTTCTTAATTTTTTTCTATATCTTTTTGTTATTCCTGCTTTTTCTCTTTCCATGTTCTTCTCTCAATTATTTCATTTCCTATTATTACAGAGTTTTGTGAAAACCTTCAAAATAAAATTAAAAGGAAAAATGACATTATGCGTGCACAAGTGACTTTGATACTAGCCTATTTAATGAGGAACATGGCAGGTGCCGTTCCACTGCTGGGAATGTCTGGTACAATTTCCTCTAGTAGACTAAAGTACGTCTCAAGTGATTGAGATTAATGTTGTGCACTTTCCTACTCCTCGTTCTGGAACGAACATTTATGATACACGTATCGTTTCAAGGATAAGAGTCTTTTAGTGGGCATAAAAACTCTTCTATTCATGAAATTGACAGCACAAAAGGTACTAGGGAGGAGATAAAACCTTTTCTACATTGATGGTACCTCCATTTAAGGATAGAGGTGAAATATTTCAAATACAGAAAAAGTCATCAACACAAGAATTGTCAGGTACAAGGTAGAAATTATCAGCAATAGAAGTGCAGACAACAGAGATGAAGAGGGGGATCAAAGCATTTTCAATCACTATTATTCCAGTAACCAGTATAAAATATTGAAATAAATAGCTAGAAACAAAATAGATGTTTTTTTGCTAGCTAGTTTCAAACTAGCCTCAAAAAGTTTTCAAACTAACCTCTCTTTCTTCAGGTAAATTCTTGGATACTTGGGCGGGAGCACCATCAGGTACACTAACACAGTTACGAAAACCAGCCTCTTCCAATGAGAGCTTATCTATTTCACCCTCCACCTGTTTTACATTGGCAAAAGTCAAAAACAGGAAGCAGATTTCTAAAAGGCAACATGAAGATACAATAAAAGTAAGAGAGGGATTACAATAATAATATCTGTAGCTTGCTTTATGTCATCGAGTCCATAGAATATTCTTTCTGTATTCTTTTCCTGTTCAAAGAAGGAAAACAAATCTAGTTTAAAGGTCATCCTCGAAAAATGTAGAACATAGAGACTTAAATCAAAACATTGTTCTTAAAGAGAAGCCGGAATCTCATGATCACAAGTAAACTTCCACTAGATGTTAATGAAAACAAAAAAATAAACCTGAAAAAATCTTTTGTTGTTGCCACGATACTTGCAATTGACAAGCGTTCCATTTCGTTTGTAAGTAAAAGCAATGACAATCTGTTAACGAAAATTAGATGAGTCCAGCAGTAATCATCATCATATATGAAAAGATTCAAGCAGTAACCCTGACCTCATTATGGTATTTGCGCTGCATGACATCATTTCTACGCAAGGTTTCAGCAGATATCATTCTCTCCGAAAACCAAGCAATAATCTGTAACAATAGATTCAGAATAAGAAAATAACAAAGTCAAGCAAACTTGGCAACTCATGAAGATAGATTCAACTGCAAACATTATCAAGACATTCCCATGCAGTTGATCCAGACAGAAGATAATAGATACTAATAGTTGCACGAAAAATAACATTAATCATAAAAGATAGCCCATATAGACAAGGAATAATGGGTAGTTTTCCCGAATTTGGTCTTTGGTGCACTCATCACGTTCTTCCATTAAAAGCTGGAATTTCATTGAATAGAGTGAGGTTGTCTACCTTTCGCAAAATAATAAACCCAGAGCTACAGGCTATTAAAACCCTACCCTCAGAGATAGGGTTCAAGAGGAAATTAATTATGGCCTAAATCGGCAATTTGTCAACTGCCAATTTAATTTCAACAAATCAAAACAGAAGAGTTTTTTGCCATTTCACTATGCTGATTCTGGGACTGTGACCAGTCGGTTGCTGAGAAAACTCTGATAGGTTCATAGAACGATACAACAAAATGAACTTTTTCAGATATCCTGTTAAACGCCTAATGGTCGTGTATTTCTTTCCAGGACTCCTTGTGTAAAAAAAAAGACATCGAAACAAAATATTATGGGTGTAGGGAGGATGTCAGAAACCCTTCCATGTGATCCCTGCACTCAAACTGCTTAAAATCTCAGCATGACAATCACAACAACAACCCAACCCAACCCAACCCAACCCCACCCTATCATCACATAGGTAAAATATTTCCCGTTCATAAAGATAAAATAATTAATGACCCTGACACAGCACCTTTTTTCCCGTTCACAACGACAACCAACTTTACTATCACCGGAAGAAAATTCCAACCTATGAAAATAATATTTGTTGCTGGCGTACTGGAGTCAGCATCCTGAATCCTTCTGCCCTTTCCCTTCTCAGACATCAAATTGAAGCTGTAAAAGCAAGCCCTTTAAAAGGGTTGGTCCAGCTAGTCTTCGAGCCAGCCGGAGTAAATCAGGGTTGGTAAGGAATGCTGGTCCAATACATCAATACTAAAATAGAGTTGGTAGAACACTCTAATATTAGGATGTTTGACCTTGTGTCTTCAGAGCAAAGATCATTCCCTGTGGGAAAAAGGTGAAGATCGTCCCCTGATACTCCTTTTCCCTCTGTCTCCTACTCTCCAGAACAAATTTTACACAAATTCTGCCTCTACTGCGGTTTTTAACCTTAAGCTGTATATGAGATAATCACTTGGACTGTAACAAACTGCACCTAGCGCGCCTTGAAAGTGCAACCAACTGTTTATTACGTACTAGTAAGCAAAGTAGACTTCATTGAAAGATATCTTTTGCAGGGGATCATTTAAAACACAATGAAATTCCACTTACAGATCTAGTGAGGTTGCTGCGTTATCCATTTTCAATTTAAAAAAATGCATGTGCCAAACTATATTCCCCTAAGGCGTTACTCGAGATTTATGCCACATCTAAGCTCTACCATCGCAACAGACCATAAAGGCACTATTCCAAGATGAGGAAGATTGACGTAATTTGACACAATCGTACAGAACACATGGTTCTCATAGTCATGGGATGAAAAATCTAGAAATACTGAAAACAGAGAGTAGATGAGTGTAGCATAAACATAAAGAACTATAAATGATCAAGAGTAGCAACATAACTACTTACCTCACTACACAAGTCCTCTAACTGAAGATCTTCCTCCGAAATTTGTCTATAGGTAGGAGCATTTCCACTATGACCACTGCGGGCATCATATCCCTTGCCATCTTCTGATACCTACAAATACACTACTGGATAAATTTACAAATCATGCAAGAGCAATTCAATGGCCTTGGATCCCAACGACGTATATGGTACTTTTACCTGCAAATGTCCCCTCCATCCACATTTACCTCTAAAGCATGACCACATGGCCAACTGCCTGTAAAATTCGAAAGTATTCACTACTGTGAAGAGAACGAATATCGACGGTCATCAGTAATGACACACAAAGATTTAAGCAACTCACCCATCTTCACGAATGAAAAGAGAGAAGCTCCTTTCCTTTGAGTCACCTCCACGACACTATAGAAAGATTAATAAACGAATTAACTAGTAAGAAATTCTTCCTCAAGAATAACACTCAAAATTAAACCATGTCAAAGTTTTGAAAGCTGATTAATATAAAAGAAGGTTCTGTCATGTATGCTGTGCAACGTTTAACAACACTGTAAGTAAGAAAGAGGTGGTTACAGCCGTAGCAACAGATGTTAGGGAACAGATATTGTTCATCACACTAATCTCTAGATGAAATTCTATATAATGTGCAAATAAGGACGAATTTCGATAGTTAAACTAGAACAGCTCAGTGACATCACGTGCCATCAACCAGTTGTAGCGAACAAGAAGCCAAATTGGTATTTTTCATTTCTGATATTTATTATTCCCATTTAGATGAGAATCAGTTATGCATTGAAAGTTATTGATCAGAAAAGATTTTAATTATTGTATTCACCTGGTTAAGGATCATTTGAGTTCAGGCTTATGTGTATTTCTTATTTTTTGAAGTGTAGAACTCATGAAAGTCATAAAACTTTGACTTAAGGAGATAGAGGACCACCATTATCTTAAAAGAAACGCAGATTGTACATAGTGCGTAAAAACCAGTAGCAAAGGGCCTGGAACATCAAATGGGATTCCAAGAAACAGAGGCAGATGGAATCTAAATAGCTCAATTAGCCGTTATAATCAGCCTGAAAGATGGAACTGAAAATCTTATGACTTTCTAAAGATCCCCATATTTGTAGCAATAATTGCATCTCCTAATGATCTATACACCATGGTATCCTAGACGTAAGTTGGTAAGGTAGAACTTCTTTTCATTTTTCTTCCACAAAAATCCTCATTGAAACGGGCTTCCTGTGGATCACTGGTTTCGGTTCACATCTATTGGATAGCTTGCATGTAAAGGCCTATTCATCGGATATCTGACTATTTTTAAACAGCCCTTCATAGTAGACATATCCCACCACATGGAAAAAAATGCATGAGCAGTCACCAACATGAAAACTTACAGTAGAAAAATTCTAATTTAATAGGAGTTTTTATTTGACATGAAAGTATATTCCCGCCAAACTTCCTAGATATGTTTTCAGCAACATTGACTCATTAAATATTGATGAAAAAAGTTCGCAGAAACATAGCAGCTAACAAAAGAACAAGAAATTTCAGACATATACGAGGTGCATTGCTCAAAATTTGGGAGACATAGACCCTCCATTGGAGAGAGTTGCCAGTGGCATCAGGGGACCCAGTGGCAGGCCCCTTGGAAGCTAGCCAGCTCCAAGCCTGGTTGGCCCCTATTTGTGCGATTGATCACAGCTACCTTGGGAAGCTGCTGTGCAACCCTGTCCCCCCTCCCCCTTACCCCCACCCCTTACTCACACAGAAAGAAAAGGAACAAATGAAAAATGTTTTGAGAGATTCTCCCTCACGTCAAGAAAATAATATCAACATGAAACATCTATGGATACGGCAAACGGAAATAAATACACCCGTCACGTCATCCCAAGAGAGAGAAGATACCTTGGGGCATAGCATACGTGTGTACTGTCCAGGCTTGCAAGAACCACAGGAAATCCCTTGTTCTTCCAGCTTCTTCCTCAGTATCTCGAGTTGCATGGCGTTAGTTTTCGCTTCCTCTAAGGTGCCCGGCAGAACTGGAACATAAAAAATAATCAAAAAAAAAAAAAGGAATACAGCGTAGGGAGACTTTCCAGAAAGACATAGCACACATAAATACAAGGAAATCAGACTCAAAACATGCTAGAGAGTACCGGCCCTCGCGAGACTAGTTGGAGAGTACGCGCGCACATGACATAATCTCAACCCAGGAAGGGGCACCCTGGAGGAGACCTGGGCATCCGCAGTGGTGAGTGAGCTCGGGGAGATGAGGTGCAGGTACTCCCTGAGAAGCCGGCGGTGGTACCGGTAGGGAAGGAGCGGCGCAGCGAACCAGGCGGGATGCTTGCCGACGAGGTGCTTTGAGCTGCCCATGAGAACGCTCGAGTGGATGAAGTTCTGGAAGGTCTTGCCGGCCGCCGGCGGCATATCAGTCAGACCCAAAGTCGCACCTGAGCTCCTCCCTGGGGGGTGATCGAGGAGGAGGCGGAGGGAGAACCGGGGAAGAAGATGGGGCTCCACATTTCCCGCTACACAAGCACCTTCCAGAATAAATACCTAGCCAATTTAAATCGTTCTACATCTCCATCACCGCCCTCCCTCTACTGGGCCCGCATCTATCGCCTTGCAACAAAGTGGACCCAGCTTATACGAATGCCTGCACCTGAAGAGTGCTACGCAGGCTTCTTTATCTTTGATCCATGTATATTTAATATCTATTTCATGTTTGTACGTAATCCCTTTTCAGGCTTCAAAAGGGTTTTTTATTAAATAAATTTCGCAATCGTTTTTCAAGGGTTTGTGTATGCAGATTTATGTTAGAAGGTTGGCCATGCCTTTGGCCAAGGCGTTGTTATTATGTAGAAAATAAAGAAAATAATTTTAAAGATTTGTTTTAGATCCACTATCATTATAGCTAAATGATTTTTTAATGAATAAATATTGCATTAATTTAATAAGGATTTAACTAGCCTCAAGTAGGCCAAAAGTAGATAGGCCTACCAAGGAAAAATAATTGAACTTAAAAACCCCAAAAAAGAATAGAGAAAATGATTTTGCCTTGGTCTAATCTTTTTTCAAAAGAACTTATCAATAATATAAAATATATATATATATATATATTTTTTATTAGCCTGCTAGTTTAAAATATTATTTAATAAAAATAAATTTTATTAAGGACTTATGTTGGCCTTGGAATTCTAGAAGCTTGCTAAGCTCAAAGGAGTTCCACAAAATTGGAGTTGCACAAGTAAGTTTAAAGAAAATGAGTCTATGTTGGGAAAATGTACTAATACATAGGAAATGAAGAAAATAATGAGAATAGTTAGTAATATTGATTGTTTTCTGGAGCAATAAAATGAAAATCAAATAGCTTTTTTAATGAAATATAAATTTTTTTTGACAATTTTTCCAAGACTTTAGTTATATGTCATATTATAAGATTAATGGGGCTAAATAAGTTTCAGTAAAACATTGGCCTAAAAAAGGTAGGACACAATAAAAGATGCACACTTAGTAAAGCCCTACATGCACAAAGAAGAGTTTTCACTGGGATTGTTACGTCTTACACAAGACAACTTAACCCTTAAAAAATTCTCCTTTGATTCCACGAAAAGCCTCCATATTAAAGTGATTTGAGACTGGTTTTGTACACCATTTAGAGTCTGCCCTGATCTTGCAGGAAGATATAATATACACTCAATGTTGTCGGAACCATACCAGAGGAGCTCCAGAATCTGACTCAACTCACCCACATGTATGTGCCCCATTCTGCCTCTGCTTCTTCGATTGCTGACCCTGGATGAAAACACCTATGAATAAAACAGCGACTGAAAGTTACTGACAATGAGCCATTTTCTATGTTGGCAGTAACATGGATCAGAACTATTTGACCGGTCCTCTCCCTGCATTCCTGGGGAACCTTACGTCCTTGCAGTACATGTAAGTGATAGGCTGTAATCAGAATTCTGCAGGGCAGAAAGGGTTGACCTCTACGGTGCTCTGTTTACTTTTTTCAGGAGTTTTGGGATCAATGCACTATCAGGGCCTTTCCCAAAAGAGCTGGGGCAGCTTAGCAGTCTCGTCTTAATGTAAGATCTCTGTCCATGATGTTTGATTTCTCGCTAAGCTGGTCACAGTTGGGAACTCCTCTTTTTCTGCGCGTTCAAATGTTTTATGCCCTTTTTATTGCTTCTAAAAATGAGTTAATATTTATGGAATTAGATAAGTCTGCTAGTTAATATTCATGGTCAGATGTTACATTTAGCCACAGTTGTACATTTTAATGATTTTATGGAAGTATTTTATGTCCTAGTACTTTAAAAGGATGCAGAATACCTTCCAAGCCTTAAGTTGGTACCTTTTACGGCAGAATGGTCCCTGGCAGGACTCAGAAGCAAAAAATAACCTATCTAAAATTCGTTTAGAATAATAAACAATGATCAACAAGTCAGATTGTTCCAACTGTTCGATTGGAAGGAAAACTATTAATTTAGTCTGGAAACATGACATATGGAAACCGAGTTTTCTTATAGACGTTGAAGGTGCCCCTGTTATAACAATATAATTGGGGTTAATGCTCTCAATTGTGAATCGATCATTCGCTATCCTTTGATAGGTGAGAGAACAGAATGGAAGAAAAGTAATGAAACCTGCGATTGCTACTGAATAACCTCCTATTACTTTATCAATAATAAACCCCGCAAGCGCCTTTTTATTCGTTCGCCTCTTCAGTTCCATCCAAGCTCGGTTTTGTCTGAATCTTCGTGGAAGAAGAAGGTTTATGAATAATTGATGGGAAACGTATTTCGCATAAGATCCATACGCATGGAAGCCGATATTTCTATTGCTTTGGATGCTTTGAATTCCATCTCTGTCACATGGTGGGCGTAGGATTCTGACGACGTTTTACCAAATATTACTGTTTCACTGTACAGCTATATAGATTCGGTGAAATAAGCTTGATTTATTCTGCTTTGTACAGAGGGATGGGTTCCAACAACTTCAGTGGTTCACTCCCTCCGGAACTTGGAAGCCTTTTAAACTTAGAGCAATGGTAAGTGCTGATTCTAGTCCTGGTATTCTTGTGCTCTGTTGAATAGAAAAATCAATAATGGCAACCTTCAAATCTAGTCACGCAATGAATTATTCGCACCTAGCATCTTCAGTGGGAAGATGAGACGATTGCTCCATATTTTCAATGGCAGGTACATGGATAGTTGTGGGCTGAGCGGTGAGATCCCATCATCCTTTTCTAATCTTACGAAGTTAAAGACAATGTAAGTTAGATACTCGAAATTTTAGTATATTTTTGATTGAAAGTTCAAGTTCTGTACTCAGCCGTAGTTCCTCTTGGTGGCAGTTGGGCTTCGGACAATCATTTCACCGGGAAAATACCAGACTTTATTGGAACATACACAAATCTCGAAGATCTGTAAGCTTCATCTGTGGAGATAGTTTTTGAATTACAATCTGTCACTGTTATTCAAAAAAATCCAGCATATCCTCTGTCCATTATGCATGGGAGCTATTCCTTGTCATTCCATTCTCTCTCTCTCTCTCTCTCGCTGTTGAAAGACTTTCTAACCCTGAAAATCTTGTTGCAGGAGGTTCCAAGGAAACTCCTTCCAAGGGCCCATACCGTCAAGCTTAGCTAATCTCAACAAATTAAAGAGTTTGTAAGTTATTTGCGTTCTGTTTGTATAGCTCATATTCGTCAGCACGTGACACATTAACGGCACAAGAACTGATTGACGGTCCGTCACCACAATGCTATTTTTTTAATTTCTTGTGGGTTGTTCATTCAGGCGTATAGGTGACATTGTGAACGGGAGCTCAACTTTAGATTTTCTGCGGAATATGACTTCCCTGACTACCTTGTAATGTCACTGCCCAGACCCGTACAACCTACAGTTATCTTGGTTTTAACGAACTTAAATGATAGTAGTCGTCATATTCTCTCGCAGGATCATCAGAAATGCCAGGATTTCAGATACTATGCCATCAGACTTCAGCCAATATACAGGATTACTGTCTTTGTGGGTCGATTTTAATATATTTTTCAGGCTAGGTTATCAGATGGGTCAGTGTCATCAGTCTAATGTTTGCCTCGTTTTCTTCACGGTCTTGTAGGGATTTAAGCTTCAACAATATAACAGGGGAACTTCCAGAGTCCCTTTTCAGCTTGAGTTCACTTCAATTCTTGTAAGAATTTTTTCGTGCCAAGTTGCATCTTGAATGGAAACTAGTTTATGAGCAATTCTGCCTTAAATCTATTGAACATATTATGAGCTTATTATATGTTATTATCTGATTGTGAAATCTCATTTATTTCCTCTTAATTGTTGACAAATTAAACCCATTTGGAGAAAATATTTTGCAATCAATAGTATCTATTGTCCAAGGTTGAGGAATACTATAACAAAAGGGTACATAGATAGTAATTTTGACTATAGTGATGAGAGATGGAGTTGACCTATAAGAAGAAAGGTTGTACTTTTTAAAGTTAGTTGTCACTCATGCACCTCCTAGTTATGCTCTATTTATAGGTATCTAGTTTAGGCTAGTAGGGGCAACTTATCCCAAATCTCTTTAACTATTACACATATTGAAAATTTCTGAAATTTATTAACATCGACAACACAATGTAGCATATGTATTATTTCACTATTGAGAAGTCTTAAGTGACTTTTGGAATCCTCTTCAATTATAATCCAAACATTAAAGTTATATGATTGAGTTAAAGTTTTCATTTTATTTCTTCATTAGGAGAAATTTGATACAATCAAGAGATGAAGCCAAATGATGAATTGTCCATAAAAAATCTGACTCACTAGACTATTAGTCAAGTGATCTATACTTTAAGATTGGTGAGATCTCTAGATAAGCTTGCTCTGATACTAATTATAAGTCATATTTTACAATTATGAAACATCAATAAGGGGGGAGAAATTGATACTTATGATAGATTAAGAATTTTCTTTTTATATATTTTTTAAATATCTTCTTAAATTTAATCTAATATTAATATTTAGAGAGATGAAGATTACAATCTCAGTCCCTATTTTAGTCTCTAAAATACACTTAATTTCATAGTAGCAGCCGCTCATACAATCTAAGCTTTACAAGCATGTATTAACCACTAGAATCACAGGTTCTAGATATTATAAATGAACTATATTGCAAGCACACCATAGGTGCCTCAGTGTTCAACACTTTTGAACCAAAAAGCAAAGAGACAAAGAAACAAATAAAATAACTTTTGCCATTACCTTCAATAGAAGATGGAGAATTTTTACTATGTCAAAGGATCACGTTGAAGCAAGTGGATAGGATAAGAAGCCATTTGAGTTTTTTCTTCAAATATAAACTTTTAGGATGTTGATTTCAGCAGCAAGACAACAATGTGTAGGATACGGGTTGCAATGAAAGTCACTCTCCTCTAATTTTTTGTTTGATTTCTATGTCCCAATATAGGACAAAATACTCCTTTTATGTTGGGGCTTATTGGGATGGATTGCACCCTTTAATAGGTCTCTTCAACATGAGCTCCTCACTATTTTGAGCCTGAATAGTTCTTTTGATTTGGGTTGTACTGATGTTTGGCCTTAGTGACTCTTTTATTTAGGCTACATTGGTGTTTGGGCCTTAATGGCTCTATTATTATTATGTTGATCCTCTAAGCATACTAGTGGGCTGCACTTGCACATTCTATGCATTTAGGTCTAGTAATTACATGCTATTTATATGCTTTGAATCCTACTACAAAAAAGTTGTTGGATTTTAGGGTGCACTTAGATCAAAGTGGGAATGGGGTTGACTTGATCATTTTCTAATCTTGACTTATATCACCTTTTCCTGAAATCCCTAATCCTCTTCAAAGTTCCATGTCATATGCTATTCGAGGCTATAAAGGACTGGAACTAAAGGATTTTTAAGTGGTTCTACCCCTTACCTATGTCCACTCTACATATACAAATTTATTCTTGAGTTCCACTAAATTAAACATTTCAATGTCAACCATTGATTATTAGGCTCAATTCTCAAATTAATTCACTCTTAAATTTTCTTCTAAATTCATGACTACATTATGCTAACAATTGATTAATGGGTAAGGTCTCTAGAGTAATAACATGAAGATTCGATCACAATTTTGTGTCATAACAAATATGAAAGATTTTACCTTGGGTCTTTTTCAAAATATGATGTTAAGTTATAATGCATCCAGGATTTGAATGACAAGATTCATGATCAAGACTTGATTTTTGTTGTCCTCTTTTTGTAAATATGTTAGCTGAAGGTGGATAGTACTATGACTTTGATCACTTGAAATAATTACTCAACACATTCCCTTCATGTTGTTTGACTAGTAGAAAATGCCACATGATTGCTCATAGAACTTTCTTTAGAAAATATTAACTAAACTCTTAAAATTTTAGAGGGGTTAGAGATTATCATTCAAACCTATGTAGATGTTGGAAAGGTACTGTATTTATAGATAATTCAAAGTTTAAAGCCTCCTTTATTTTTTGTCCTCTATCAAGGTTTATATTTCTAAAAATAGTTAGAAATTAGAATAGTTAAACAACTAATATAATGTCCATTAAGGAGTTTTATATCTTGATAAGAAATAAATACATGGTTCTATTAAATTATAATGTCTATATTTGATGTATATCAATTCAATTGAGTTTGGTAAGAATTTCATAATGTTGAAATAAAATAGTGATTTAGCAATCAAAATTTTTCTAAAACATCTCAAATAAAAACCAATAATTAAGTAGACTTCTTCAATCATGATTATAAATACTTCTAATCATAATTTAAGTAATTTAAAATATTCAAAATCATTTTCTAAATACATGATTCTATTAAATTATAATGTCTATATTTGAAGTATATCAATTCAATTGAGTTTGATAAGAATTCAATATTGTTGAAATAAAATAATTTTTTAGCAATCAAAACTTCTTCAATCATGATTATAAATACTTCTAATCATCATTTAAGTAATTTAAAATATTTAAAATCTTTTGATAACATATATTTACTGATATTTATAAAATCATTTGAACTAAAATGAGTATTTTGATTTTAATGATTACTTTGATGTGATCATGTAGACCATAGGTGTAATAGGGTTTAATAGTTCTCATACCCGTATTTTGCTCTATGATTTCATATTGATCTAAATGTCTTAATCACTGATTTTCTTATGGTGTGAATTTATGTAAATATTGATAATTTCTACAGTAATATACATAATAATAATTCCACTAAACTATGAAATTCAAGATAATGAGATTCAAAAGCATTCATCGAATTTCTATTTGGGTATTTGCCATTATTATTTTAAGTTCTTCCTCAAATTTTATTTAATTATACTCTTGATCAAATATGAAATAATATTTATTTATTCATTCATTAATTTAATAAGAAATAAGCATAATTTGATTATAAATTGGTCTTATGTTTATTTATCATCATAAAAATGATATTCATTAAATGTTAGAATTAAAGTTATATTTATTGGATATAGTTCTGGCAAGATAAACATGTCTTTTGATGATTTAGAAGAAATCAGAATATAAGTAGAAACTTTTTACATGTTTACTATATATCATTCAACAAGTGGGTATTTCTTTAGGTTATAATGAATTTCATAATTTGCTTTGGGTAAATTTACCTAATTGATCCTTTATATGATTACAATATTTTGAGTTATTAAACTTAACACTCTCTATCTATTTAACCAGTGCTAGTTGTCCTCTGTAATGCACAACCAACCATAGTATACATGATTCACATGAATGAATAATCTTCACAAATGTGATACAAAAAATGATGGTGCATGACCTACCTTCGTCAAGTTGTCTACCACTAGTATAGGAGCTTGTAGACCCCTAGGTGTCAACATGTAATATCCTGTTGTCATGATGCCTAGTAGAACAATTGGCTCTTGCTCTGACTAGCTGTTCCACCTGTAAGTATTGCTTCAGGAGCCTTGATTAAATAAAAAGGTATTGATGAGAACAAACACATTGGAAAAACTAATGGATCAAATTGTACGTAATATTCCATATACACGCATCACACATTTTTGATCTTTTCGGCACATATCTGAAATTAAATAGTTATCAATAAATAAAGAATGTATTTAAATGATGTCAAGTTTATATATCCTAATTGAATGAGTGCTTTTTATGCTCACATTTTGAGTTATAGATTTCTGATTAATCTTTTGCTCAAAATCTTTACTTTCTTTATTGTTGTAGAAGTTGTCA